ATTGGCATACAAATAGATGTTTTTTCACACAGTAAATCAATTCCTCCAACTAACAACAATAATAAGCCCTTTGTTGTATTTTAGCTTCCAAGAGAACTCCAACATATCAAAGAATTTGTAATTTATGTGTTATTGGTACTTACGATGACAAAGATGGACAGTCCCTCATTCACAGCCCAGTTCCCCATGGCAAAGGCTCAATGTGCTGTGTCTGACTTTCTTTTATGTAGTGCTTCTTCTTCTCATGAGGAAATGAAAATAGCGGCCTCAGGGCAATATGTTTCCTTTTCTATTGTCAGAAATTAGCTAATCATTGACCAACTGAAAAGCCTGTTTCCATAACAAATTTAAAACTTTAAACCATACAAAAAGTCCATAAAAATATTTTTAATAATTCAATCACAAGAGACATATTGGAAAATGAAACCAAATTTTACAACTGAGAGGTTGTCAGTTTACATTTTATTTTTATTATTTGTCAGACTATTTGTGCAATTTATAGATGTATTTTACACAGTTAACTACTTTTCATTAGCCAGTTATCTAATTGCAATTTTCACGTCACTCAGCTATCTATGTCTTGGTGTTGGATAAAACATATTAAACAAGTATGATATCTTCTAACAGGCTCTTACACCACTATATTTTCAGTGAGTAAAGTAAAAAGAGTGCTTGATGATATTTAGAGGGTGCTTACCATATACCAATTTTATATGCTAAGATAATATATTTGTACACTGTGTGTATATATGTCTGTGAATTGAAACATACATATGAATATATATGTATATACATACAGATGCATATTCACACAGACACATCAGTTCATTTGAGTCTCACAACTCAGTTCCTATAGAGCAGGTTCTATTTTTACGATTAAGTTTATAAATGAAAAAACTGAGACCCAAAACAGTGAATTTATTTCAACCAAGTTGCAGTGCCAGGGAATGATAGATTTGGGAGTTGAAACCCAAACAATGTGATACCAATGTCCTGACCTTTAACTAGGATACCAGAATAAAGCCTGAATTTGACAATTCTACCCTAAATTATTCCACATATAACTAAAGGAAGTGAAAATACCAAAATGTTCAGATGACAGTCATGTTCCCAGACAGACATGACCTGCTCCATGCTGTTTTTAGACATTGTCAGACCAAAGGTATGACAGTTTATGATAAATGCTAAAACTAAATGAACCACCACTGTCCCCTGGCCCTGGCTGCTACTCAATTTTAAGATAGTAATAACCTGATTATGAGATGAAAGTTGACTGATTGTACAAGGGTGATTGGACAGTAGCCACAGCTAACAGAAAGTTTAAAGAAACAAAGTGGAGCACTAGAAAAGAACAAAATAATATAAGAAAAGAGGCATAAGCTCTCAGTTGCTGTGGACAAGTACATGGACAACCTCTGGAATTGCGGCAATTAGTAAAACAGTATGATTTCTCACTGAATAATATTCAAGGAAAGGTATTCTGATCCCCCATAGCTCTTAAAGCTTGTATAACCTACATAACGGGAAACTGATCTCCAGGGTTCATTTTCAAAATAGATAAATTGAAAGAAAAGGAGTTAGATAATCAAAACTTGGGCAAGTTATGTGCATCTTTGCTCTCTGATCTATCGCCTACCCTTTCCAGGCACTGGTGTGTTTCACAGAGCATCATAATTGTCAGGTTGTTTGATCCAATGGCTTCCGGTTGGTTTAGAGAAACTGCACGATGAAGAGTAGAGAAGCCAGAATGCCCCCCCATCATTTTGCCTCAGAAGTCATCCACCAGGTGGGTGCACTGCCTCTGAGCCTCCAACTCCTCCATCTAGCCTCTCCCTCCTTCAGCATCATTAGCTCCTGCTGGCTAAAAGTACTGTACTTCTAGATCTTGCCAGATGGCCCAGGCTGCTGAGCTGGAGTTATACAAACTCCTCCCACTTCCTCTCTGGGGGTGGTAACCACTTCCTGCAATGATATTCTTTTTTATGTTCAAGAGTCATCCCCTATTGGGATTCTCCACTTTTCCATCATCTGTGTAACAATCTCCCAGTGTGGAAGTCCCTCTGTTGAAACACAGAGCTTTCTGTTATCTGATTGGATTTTGAAACAAAAAGTGATTAAAATGTGTACTCATTTTTTTCATATAATTAAAGAAAGGAGCCATTTATGTCTAACTAACAATAAAATACCATAAGCACGTGTTCTCTCTCTTTCTTTACCAGTCTCAGTCTCCTCAAGGATGACTGCCACTCCATCAGGCTTTTGAAAATTCAACTGAGTCTTCTCTTCTGCACTTTCCCCCTCTTTTCTCTTTCCATATCTAATGTTTCATGTTCCCTTGTCCTATCTAAAACTTCAAGTTTTCCCACAGTTTTCCATTTGCTTCCTGAAGCCTGTGCTCTATTGGGAAAGAAGTGAGAAGATCATGAATACTTACACACTAAGAAATACCATTTTCTTTATCTTATAAACCTGTTTCTTGAGAATTTCCCCCATTCCGTCCATGTATAATCTCAGAAGAAAATTCAAAGAGGAAAGTAAGTGCACTTTCCATGGATAATCAACCATTCCCTTCTATTATTTTTCCCTCCCTTATTAAAGTAATCACAGAGCTGTGAGTAGCATTTTCTTGAGAGCCTTAAGAGCCTCAATCAGTTTCACAGCTGGAGGGCAACCGCTTGCAATGAAAAGTAAAATTTTTCTTCCACGGAAACTAACTTCCCTTTTGCATACTGTTTAAGAGAACTGCAATGTGTGCTGCTTTTAGAAAGACAGGTGGAAAGGATGATAAAGGAGCAACAGAATTAGCTGAGTGGGACTGACTTTACAAGAAAGAAAAAACTTAAACCTCTTTGCATTTCATTAACTAATGGCTTATCTTGTCCCAGTCATTTTGGCATCCTTGTCTCTTGAACTGTTGGCTCTTAAACTACACTGTGGTAAACATAAGCATGTACTCACAAGGTCTTGAGGAAAACCCATAAGCTTGTAATGAATTCCTAGATACCCGTTTAGCAGAAGGATAAAGAAGAAAAACAGTCCCAAGGTTCCGCATGCTCCCTGACTTTGCTTCCTGAATGTGATTCTGTCTTGACAGCTCAAGTTGAAAATTATTAATTTCAAGAAGATAACTTGCTGTAGAAAAGGAGATTTATCCCTATACCTGGAGTCCCAGTGACTTTTGTTCCTGATGCTAACAAAAAGTGGATTTTTCTTCCTTTGTAGCTATGTTGCACATTCTGTTTTTTTCCAGAACTGTCATGATTTGGTTCTTCCTGCTTCTATGGGTGATGTGATCCTACATTCCCTGCCTAAGGATTACTACTGAGAATTCCTCTTGGGCACAGTGATTGTCCCAGGTGTGGGCCCTTGATGCAAACCAGGCCTGATAGTGTTTTTGCATGGGGTGGAGGACTTATTCTGGAGGAGCAAAGGTCATTACTTTTACTTTTTTGATGTATGCCTCATGGGGCTAAAGCCCATCTCTACCATTGTGTGGTAAAAATCTGGATAAAATTATGTCAACATAAATAAAATACGAGTCAGTAGCTAAGAAGGGATGAGGATTTGGAGACAGATATGTTGGTGATGTTTTAATTCTTGAGTCTTAACCTGCCTAGAAATTTGGATATCCCAGTTATTCTTAGAGATTAGGTTTCCTGGAAAGGAGACACTGAGGTAGAGGTTAGTTCACAGTTTTATTAGGGAGTGTTCTTGGGGTAAGTACCTATGGAAGGGAAGTAAAAACTGAGAAAACAGGAGAAAATGAACTACCATGTAGTAACCCTAAGGCGTCAGTAATCTTGTGGGCAGAACTGAAACTGGAGTAGCTGTGCATAACCTTGGGGAAGATGGTTCTTTGCAATTTTGTTGCTTTGTTTTGTCTGAGGCATGGTCTCCTTATACAGTCAAGCTAGCTTCAAACTCACAATGATTCTCCTGTCTCAGTTTTTGAGTGCTGAGACTATAGGCATTGGACATCAAAGCTGGAAAAGCCAGTTCTCCTCTCTGACACAATCCCTGCAGGTGTTGATAGTAGGGGGTAGCTCTTTCATCTTAAAGTTGGGCCTGGTGACCACATCATAGTATTTGACTCAGTTCATAAAGACGTAAATTTCCAACACTACCACTTCCTGATTTAAATTTGAGCTGGGACTTGGCATGGATGTGAGGAGGGGTTCTAAATTTGAATAAGAACTGTTGTATGAAATGTACAAAAGCTCAATGAAATATTTTTTTAATTGAGCTGGGTTATTATTGCTCATATGTTAAGACGCGTTTTTACTAAAGTATGGCATAAAGAAACCTGAAACCCAAATTTGAACTCCATAATAGGTTCCTTCGAGGTTAATAAAAGTTGAATAAGGCTGCTGAAATAGGATTCATATATCCTATCTCCTGTTTGAGAGAGAAACAACAAAAATTACAGACATTCAGCCCACAGTGGTAACACAGGCCTATGATCCCAGCACTCAAGAGGCTGATGCAGGAGGATCTCAAGATTGAAGCCAACCTGGGCTACATAGCAAGATCACTCATCAGAAAGAAAGTGAAGAAAAAGAAGGAAAGGAGGGGAGAGATGCAGAGATAGACATATAGAGAGATAAAGTCAAACAGGAAGAAGGGGATAATTTATGGAAAAACTTGGTCTTAACTTACATTCCACTTAGTAGAAAGTAAATGCATTAAGTTTATTTTCTAATTCTTTATATTAAGTGTGATTTGCTCACATAAATTACATCAGAATGAAAAGAGCAGGGAAATGCCCAGTAAGCACTGATTTGAATTTAAAAGTTTTAGTGTGCTTCCTGTGGTAAGTTGGCCTACTTCCTTTTTTTCATGAAAACAATCTATTTTTAATACATGTAATTGTTCTCATTAACAACAGCTAACATTTATAAACCATTTGATACACATCTGCTTTTTCTCATTTATTTTTCACAACCACTCAATTAGGTATATAGAATGATCATACGAATTTGTAATAGGATGAAGTCTGTTCGCACCCCAAACTATGAATATGTTCCATAGTCGCAGGTACTAATCCCCAGAACCTGTAAATGTGTTCAGTGCTTACAGGGTTTTGTAGATGTGATTAAGTGACGTGACTCAGGAAGGGGAAATTGTCACAGATTATCTGCATGAGTCCAGGGTAACCAAGAGGGTAATTATTAGAGGCAGGAACCAAGATTAGAGTCAGAGAAAGGGAATCTGAGGCTGGAAGCAGAGACCATGAAGAGAGAAGATTTTATATTGCTGGCC